GGCGTGGCGGCCATCTTGGCCGGGGACTCGGGCGTGGCGGCCATCTTGGCCGGGGACTCAGGATGATCAGCTGCAACATGACGAGACTCTAGAAGGGCAGCCATTTTGAGAAGAGACTCTTGTGTGGTGGCCATCTTGCGATGAAGCTCTTGAATGGCAGCCATGTTGTTTAGAATCTCTTGAGTGGCCAGCATTACGTGAGCAGGCCCTGGAGTAGCAGACATGACGTTAGCAGACTCTGGCTTGGCAGACATGATGTGATCAGGCTTTGACTCAGTAGACATGACACGAGTAAACTTCAACTTAACCGGCATGATGTGATGGCAGGCATGACGTGAGCTGACCCTGGAGTAACTGGCATGACGTGAACCACACCAGACAAGACAGTCGGGACGTGAGTATGCTCTGGTGCAGAGGGTACAGCACAGTTGCGGGGCTCCTCATCCGCAATTCCCACAGTAAGAGGTGACCCAGCCAACAACAGAACAAAGTCAATATATCGTTCCAGTGACCAACAAATAGTTCCCCCTGGCAAACTTGAACGAAGGGGTTCATCGACACCCACTCGAAAAATGTCCTTAAGGGCCACATCATTAAAATCCACCAAATGTCACAGTCCACAAAAGTCTTGACCATAATCCTCAATGTCCCGGTTGCCTTGACGCAGGCAGAGGAGGCATGAAACTGCTGGGTTCATTTTGCTGTGGTCGTGTATTCTGTAACGAATCATCCACTGAAGGTGAGCGTAAGTGAGAACCCAAGTGCAGTTTATTTACAGTGTGATCCAAACATCCAAACAATAATCCGTGACTTGACTTGACATGAACAGACTTGACTAGGCATGAACAGACTTGACGAGGCATGAACAGACTAGACTCACCGACAGCGGGTTACAACATCAATACACGACAAGAGACAATGGCAACATGATGGCTAGTTATAGCAGACAAGGAGGGTCTCATGACATGAACAAACCAATGGGAAACAAGACACATGACTAAGACAACCAATCAGAACATGACACAATGAACAGAGGAACCAATGGCATGAATACATGAGGGCAAGGGAAGCATGACACAAACAGGGACCATGACTAAACTAAATAATAAAAGACATGAACATGAACATGAAACAAAAACAAAACCCAAACCCCACATTACATCTTCATAGGTTGTGATTCATCTTAATCTAAAATATCATCTATGAGTCCATCTGCATACTATTCTATATCACAGACTGCTCTTCTACCACACATGAAATAAACCACTCTTGTCTCACACTAGCAGTTTTAAGATTTTATGGTATTAGACTTAACAGAGGACAGTAGTCACGGGGAGACAACTTGTCAAAAATGTTTCAAGAGGAAAACAAATCCTGGTCAGTATAGTCAATCCCCATTCCTATGCAAAAAAAAAAAAAGTAATATGAAAAAAGTATAAATGTTCAGTACATTTGGCTATTTTTTTAGGACAAATACTCCCAAAAGATTATGTACTGCACATAATCTGAGGCTTCACTGCACAAGCCATTGCTTGTGCAGTGAAGGTAGCTCAGCTTCCCTTAAAATTTCAAGACCTCATTCAAACGTGGCATTGATGCAGAAATATGTATATTGTTGGCAATATTTTGTATTACTGCCAGCAGAAGAAATTCAAAAGGTTTCTCACCGCTGCTTTGGGTCTTTCTGAAGTAGTCCTGACAGCAAAGATTTTGCCTCAGGTCCAAGTGTACGAGGAAAACGGATCTCATCCATGAGGATCAATTCAAAGAGTTTCTCATGATCCTGGTTGTAGAAGGGCAGCCGGCCGCACATCATCTCGTACATGACTACACCCAACCCCCACCAGTCCACCGCCCGGCCATAATCATTGTCCTCAAGAACCTGAGAAAGAGCAGCAGAGAACCAAAAGTGGGGACAAAGGGGTCAGGATTTTGCTGGTTAACATGGTAGATAACTACAAGTGTGTTTTTTTCATTGAAAACCATTTAAACTGCTGTGTATTCTGACAAAATAATTTATTCATGTAAATTAATGTAAAATCACAAATATTTCATTAGAGTGTAATAAATGTTTTAACAGTGATTTTTGGAATGCACTTAAAAGCAAAAAAAGTCTGTCTTCTACCTTTCACATCAAAATTCATGGCTTGTCATGACATAACTTCTCAACATCTCCATTAGGTGTGTTCGACTTGAAGCGGCACTGCGCAGATCGATCGGTGCATGACATCAAAGTACCACGAGAGAGATCCAAAAGCATAAGGAGCCGTCTGCTCTTTAATCACACTCACTGTACTTTGATGTCATACACATATCGGTCTGCGCAGCGCCGCTTCAGGTTGAACACTCCTATTATTATCCATGATTAATCACATGACAGATCAGATGATTGCATGTGGAACTGATTAAAATTGGAGGTGGTATATTCCCAAATATACTCCTAAATGCTTGAAAGATGGAATTCAATTTCAAGTCAAGACAATTTTTATTTGTATATCGATTTTCACAATACACATTTAGTGCCCACATTTAGCAGTTTAGAGCTGGACAAAATATTAGTTTACATATGGCAACGCTGTAAAGAATCACTTATCTTGAGATTTGCTATTTGCTATTTGCACTTAGCTGAGATTAGCACATATCGCTTTATGTGAGTATATGTAGATATACAGTAGTCAACATTTGAAGTGGATCAAAACCTTTCATCAAAGTTGTCTTAAAACCTAAAACCAAAATGCGTTCTTGTCTTGGGACAACTTTGACTAACTTTTTAGATCCACTTCAAATGTTGACTACTGTATATGTAGATATATGTAGATATGTGGATATATTTGAAGTAGTTGCAAGTTGGCGTTATTAATACATTATTCTATGATATGGAAATCTGTAAGGTTTGAAAGGTATAAAATCTGTAAGGAATTGACAATTTCAATTTGGTACAGTGACAAACTTTAAAATGTATGTACAGTATGTGGATAAAGCTGGATATATTTATAGTAGTTGCAAGCTGGAAGGAATTATTGATTCATTATGCGATGATAAAGAAATCTATAACATGCGAAAGGTGTGAAATCTAAATGTTGGAGGAATCACAATAGCTTCAATTTCATTCAATTGAATACACTTCAATTTATCCATCACTCCGCTGCATACACCTTAAGTGTAGCTGGGGTCCGCCCGCAGATAAATTCAAGGATAACCAGCACTGAACCAACAGGGCAGTGAATCAGATCCAGACTGCACGCTCCAAGGGCTGCTTACACTATGACGCAAATAGCCACCACTTAAAAGTATACAGCCCCCTAGTAGAATGAGCTCTTGCATTCAAAATGTAATTAGAACCCCAAAAGAGGAAGACTCACTTTGTCTCCCCCCACTCTGCAATTGGAAGGAAGGCATATAAGCGAGTCATCGGCCACACATTAGCCAGAGCGTCTATCCCCAAAGACAATGGAGGAGAAAAAGAGAACCAAAAGGCACACTGGGCTATCTTTCTCGAAGTGAACATATCCACCTCTGCCTAGCCGAACTCGCGGTCTGAGGAGGCAACTTCCATTCTCTAGGCCTCAACATGTGACATGATCGCCCTTCCGGGCTCCAGCGGCTGGGTGACCTTCTTAAACTGTGCCTCAACTTACAGGGCATTTGTAATAAGAAGAAAATCTTAAAAATCCAGTCCAAAAATGGGGTTGTTTCCCAGGTAACAGGGTGAGATGGTATCTGTGCATAACTTTTATTGTGTGGTACTGTGAGGCACTTCCTCCTAGGCTTCTTTCTCCAACTGGAAATTAATTTTCTGCCATAAAATTAGAGTCTTCCTGTTGGACCAACCATTATGTGGAGTACCTCACTGAAATTGGGCAGGCACAGCAGAATTCACCACGCTTCCAAATGAAGTGAGAGAAGTATCAGACATCTCATGACTGGAGCCTGATTATGAAGCCTTTGTTCACTACATGATCCCTAAGGCCCGCAGAGCATGCTGGATGGAAGAATATGTGACTCTATGATGGGACTAAAATGCACTATGGGGGCACACTCGTGTGAACAGTTGAGAGATTGTGGAGTACACACGAGAAAATTGTGGCAATGTGAGCACTTCGACAAGCCATTGAGGGTTGCTTCTGCATAAAGAAAAGCCAAAACACTTTACTTATTCACTGTGAAGGGCTTTTTACAATGCGCTTAACCCCAAGTTACTGTTGTCACCATATGGACCTTGTTTCTGTTCTCCTGTTTTGTGTCATGACCTAGTTTTCCTTAGTTCCTTTGATTAGTTCATTCAGTTCACCTGTGCCCTGTTAATTTTGTCATTAGTCCCTCTCTTGCTTTGGTATAAGTACTGTTAGTTTCTGTTCAGTCCTATTGTATTTGTGTATGCTGCTTGTGTTTCCCTGTGATTTGAATGGATCTTCATCTTGGATTATCATTAAATGTTATATTGTATTACCTTTGTCTTTGTGCACCTTCTTTCCACAAGAGCGTGACAACTGTGGTTCTAAACCCCACTTATAACCCCAGGTAAAGGTATGTTTCACAAGCATAATTTAGAAGCAGGTCTATCACCGCTTTTTACCCTGTGCTATGAAACCCTGCTTCAAAAAAGGTTTAGCACCGCTTTTGCAGTGTTAAAAGAATGTTAACCCGGGGTTTAGGAATGTACCGTGTGAAACGTCAGGATTAATTGTTAACCCTGATTAAATTATAAGCAAGATAACACCTGGATTCCATTTACCCAGTGTTTAGAATGACCAAGGGTTAAATATAGTGTGAAAAACCCTTCCTTGTTTGTAATAAGCGAAAACACGGAGGGACACACTGACGAAACGCCATTGTATTCCATTCTAAGTAAAAATAAAGTCCACTTAAAGTGACTTGCTGAAACACAACAAAAATCTGAAGATGGCATAGGCAGATAAATCATATTCCTGAAGAAGAGAAATCGGAGGAGTGATAGCTTGGGTATGTCTTTTTTTAGCCGGTTAAGCCGTTAGCCGTTTTCTGTGAATGTGCGAGACTTCCGATTCATTAGCCACTGTAAGGAATAACGTGAAAGTATAACAAAGTGCAGTGTTTGCGCTACAAACCAGTGTGTTTATAATTAAGACAAGACATTAAAATAATATGGTAAGAAACAGCAGTTTTCAACATCAATCAAGAAAACAAAACAAAACAGCTAAATAATGTGTAAGCTTAAATAGCTGGAAACCAGACACATTAAATTTATAAATGGCCACCTTTGCGCTTACGGGAAAAATACGGTGGACACAGGCTCCAGACAATCGCCACACTTGGAGGGAGTTCCCATAGTGTCAGCTACTGACACAGAGTCAAGTGAATCTATGAAAGGGAACCTAAAATTTTCAAAGAGCCAGAGAGAAATATGTGGAGCAAAGCATACATTGTACGACTGTGCCATCGTCTAAACCACTGTGTGTTGTACTCTTCCTAGAGCAAGAACATGGGGAACAATGGCTGAGAATGCTAACAGATGGCTCTCTAGATATGAGAGACCTTAAAATGTTTAAATTGTTATGTTTAACAGGGTATGCTACAACTTCCAAAAATGAGAGAGAGAAACAATGTGCTTTTTTGTTCCTACCGGGATTTTCCTCTCTATTCACTGTTCATACAGAAATTATTACAGAGTTTATTTACAAACTATTAGTGTTTGGAACTCATTTCATATACTGTATCTTTCATCAAATTTTTTATTACCTCAGGAGCCAGATACTCTGGTGTACCACAGAACGTCTTCATTGTGGCTCCCTCTGTAATTCCCTCCTTGCACAGGCCAAAATCAGTGATCTTTATGTGGCCGTCTTTATCCAGCATCAAATTCTCCAACTACCACAGAATAATTATATTGTTATGTGATATATTGTTTTGATAATGATACTACACATAGCATTACACTAATTACATCATAACCAGCTTTCTTTAAAGATATTAAGAAAGTTATTTAACGTTATTAAACATGATTCATTCATGTATGGATTTTTTTTCTACTAATCTCACCTTTAGGTCTCTATAAACCACATTTTTCTCAGAATGAAGGTAATCCAGGGCTGAGACGATCTCTGCCCCATAAAACTGTGCTCTCTCTTCCGAAAAAACACGATCTCGCGATAAATGAAAGAAAAGCTGTGATATAAGAACAAATACCCCATAAATATCCCAGATGATATACAGTAAAAGTGATGATACACGGGACAACTTTTTGAGCAATGTTGCCGTCAACGGGCAACCAGGTTATCCCGTGTATCATCACCTTAAAGGGGTCATATGATGTTGCTAAAAAGAACATTATTTTGTGTATTTGGTGTAATGAAATGTGTTTATG